TTTTTGTGTGATCCCTACGGGTCGCGTTGAGCATTGCCCACCTGCGTCGCCACTAATGCTGGGGCTTTCGCATACACTTCACCATTATTCCCCATGGCGCGGTCTTCCTCACGGGTACCACACCCAGAAACACTGGAGGAAAGGACGCGCTGTGATCAGTTATTTCAAGACCGTCGCGGGCACACTGCTCCGAGCAACGTCCACGGCATTGGACATTATGTTCTTACAACTTCTACCGCAACATCCTGGCCAACTCTCCATCCCCAGCCTCTGCCACCAACTCCAAAGGCATTTTCGCAACACACCAGACGACATCCACCTCACAGCCATCAATGACGACCTTGTCAGATTTTTCAACAGTGTTCCACAACAACGTCTCGTTGACGCCGTGATTAGCTTGTGCAACATTTGTTCGTTGCTACAGGCTTGTGAGGTTGCAGGTTAAGTTTTAGTCAAAAGAGCACCGGATTCGGCTTCTCAGGCCACGTGCCAGTTACCCCACCCACACACACACACCCACACCCCCTTTCTTTCCTTGCTTTCTTTCGTTTGTTAGATCCTTGCTTCAGGCTTGTTAGGTTGCTGTTTAGGCTCGTTTAGTTGATCCACACCACCCGGCCCCCCTGCTTTCGTTCTTTCTTGCTTTCGTTTCTCTTCCTAGGTTTCTCTCCTTTCTAGAGGCTTTTTAGGTTTGTAATCAGGCTTTTTTAATCAATGTTCCAAGTGCGCCGAAATCGGCTACATGTGTGTGTGTGTGTCAAGTCCTGTCCCAAGGACCTCTGACACCACCAGACTGTAACTAGATCTCTAACTTTCATTGTACAGTGATGCAGCGATGCAGGGGGACGCAGCATTTCATCAGGACTGTGTCCAGAAGCCACCAGTGAAATGGGATATCCAGCTTGGCCTGCTGGACGTGCCTGCATCGTTTTTTAAGTACTTAGAACTCCAAGTGAAGTTCAACCCTGAGGATCCGATATTGAAAAAATCAATCTTACGATTGGTCCCAAATCTTTTCAAAAATATTGAAAATGGTCAACTTGGAAGCCAAAAACATCAATATCATGATCAATATAATATTGGACATGATACTGATCGATATTGGTCAATATTGGTTTCAAATTGATCGTGATATTGATCATGATATTGGTCAATATTGATCGTGGAGATCCTGTGGAGTTCCTGTGGAGTTTAGCATCCTGTCGAGATCCTGTGGAGTTCCTGTGGAGATCCTGTGGAGTTCCTGTGGAGTTTAGAATCCTGTGGAGTTCCTTTTGACATTGATATTGGTCTTGATATTGATCGTGATATTGGTCGATATTGATCAGAAATATGGATTATTTTTTAATCTTCAATATTGAAAAAACCAATCCTATGATTGAAAAAAATCAAGTTCAATATTATTGAAAAGTTTTTTCGATATTGCTTTTTTTCAATATCGGATCCTCAGGGAAGCTGTCTCATGCGTTGTTTCGCTGGAATTCAATTCAGTCAAGGTCTAAACTGCAGTAACTCGGGAATTTCACAATTGATTTAGCTCTTGCGAGCGTGGATCTAAGAGTGTGTGTGCGAATACGAGGCGCCTCCCATCAGGGTCAGGAAACATGAATACTCAAGATAAAACTTCAGATCTGATCCACCCAAACATATATTTAGGATAGATGATCCCAAAACTGATCACTTGCACCCCTTCTGTTCGATTCAGCTTGGCGAACCCAACTCCGCAACCAAAACGACATCCATCTCTCACACAGATCAGTCCACTGTCAGTATAAGTAAGCAAAGCAGCTTCCGCAGCCACACCCATGGAGCGCAGCTCTTTCCGCGAGAGTTGGCTTGAGACGGGCGAGGAACTTCGCTGCGTGGATCGATGGCAACAGCTTCGGTGGCAGTTTCAGGCTTGGTTTCGTGAGACCACGGATCCCGTGGTCTTACAAAGCCCCTGGCTGCGGCGGAGCACGGGAAAGGCACTCTGTGTTTGTTGGATGTGTGCCCACTTTGTCACGTGGAGCTTGGAATTGATGAGGAGTCTGACACATCCACGATTCAGGGAGTGGGGTTATTTCAGTATGTATGACTCCATTTGGTGCATGATCGGGCTGTGCCTTTCGGCCTTGATCGCTGCCACAGCAGCACTTAGTCGTCGAGAGACTTTGAGGTTGAGTCTGCTGGTTGCAGCAGGGATTAGTTGGAGCCACGTGCTTCTGCGCTTCAGATGGCTCGGTAAACAAACTGTGGGCGATGACACGCTCATGCTCAATAACTTTGCGACCCGCCAAAGGAAAAACATTGAACAAATTTTTACTTGAGTTGCACGCGTTCAGTTCTTTTCATATTATTTTCGTTCAAAACTGATTGCGCATTTCCTGTTCTTTCAGGCTGTCCCCATGCATGAGTATTTTTCAAAATTCACTTCGCTTACCATATTGCTCTTTCGAAAACACACACACTTATGGATATGCGTACTGACTTGACAGCGGGGCCACACGCCAGCCTAAGAAACCCAAATCCTGAAAGGTCCAGGTAAGTCCTAACGAGCCTGGGGGTCTTCAAAAGGAAAGGTGGCCCAAAGCGCAAGCCGGAGCGACAGGGTGACGTCGTAGCGCGCAAGTCTGCAGATGCATTAGCCCTTTACCAAAGGTTAAAAATTTGCGCAGGTACAAGTGGCTGATCAGACCACTCATCCACCGAAATGCCATAGCTTCGTTGGACTGGATAGGCAAATCGGCTCCAGTCCCCCTGCTAAAAACAGTGCAAAAAGAATCCCTGTGACTACAAGGGGCACACACACACACACGCCTCCCCGAGGGGAGGCGAGAAGCACTAAGGTCAGGGCAAAAGTGTGAGTGCGCGCGCAGTAAGACAAAAGAATGAAGACATGAAGAGGACAAGACGGGACAAGAGTGTGTGTGGTTGCAATGAAAAGGAACCAAGTGCGCAGGAACAACCGATGACAACGAAACCTGATTTGAAAGTAGGTTGCGCGTGTACAAACTAAGGGCCACGCAGTGTGCGCCCAAAAGAAGGAAAGAGATGAGATGACAGGACATGAAGCAAGGGAAGACATGAAAGAAAAGAAATGTGAAAAAGGGAAAGGATGAAAAGGGGAACCAAATGGAGGGGACCGAAACCGATGAAGCCAAACCTCATTACAAAGACCTAGGACAACCTGCCTCGTTTGAATGTACACGCTGTATGTGCACCCAAGGTCGCGACAGGTTCCAATGAACCTTAAACTTGCTTTGACCGCTATGGTCACCTTGTGCCTTGCCAAAATGGCTGGCTGCTTTGACCGCTGCGGTCACGTAAAGGCATGAGCCAACTTGGAATTCAATAGTTCAGCAAATCTTGGCAAATAACTTTGGCATAAGCCTCCTACGCCCGCTCTGGGCACGTACATCTCCGAGCAAGGGAGATAAGGACAGACACCCGTTCGACGGGTCCACGGGAGGCACTCTACGGGCTCATCCCGGACTCTCACTGGGAGAGACACACTTATGGATATGCGTACTGACTTGACAGCGGGGCCACACGCCAGCCTAAGAAACCCAAAGCGCAAGCCGGAGTCGGAGCGACAGGGTGACGTCGTAGCGTGCAAGTCTGCAGATGCATTAGCCCTTTACCAAAGGTTAAAATTTGTGCAGGTACAAGTGGTTGATCAGACCACTCATCCACCGAAATGCCATAGCTTCGGTGGACTGGATAGGCCAATCGGCTCCAGTCCCCCTGCTAAAAACAGCTTCAAAAAGAATCCCTGTGACTACAAGGAGCACACACACAAAAATCTACCCAGAATGGGACCTTCACATGAGGTGATCTTGACCCATTGCAATATGCATCCCCTTGGGCTTCTTTTGGCTGTGATCCTGAGCTTCGGCATGCTGCTGCCGCCCATTCTCCAGCTCCAGGACCGGAGACCGCGACAAGGTCGCGACAAGGTCGCGGGACCGCGACAGACGGAGCCCAGACGTGTTTCGGAGCGGTGATTTGTGGAGCGATTTGCTTGGGGCCAGTTTTTTTGAGTTCAGACTTCAGACTGACTGTTAAAAGCACATGTAGCTGGATAGGGTGACGGCCTTGGAGCAGCTTATTTAGTAGGTGCATCCTCCCAAATAAGCATAGCTGCTTTGAAACGGTCAAGGAGGCCGCCCTGTGGCTGGATTATTATTCCACGGCCCTCTACACGCTGGCCTTTCAATGTTTGATGATCTGCGCTTTTACGCAAGATTTCAGCAATCGTGTCGGCAGTTTCCTCCGGCATGCTCTACGGGAGCGGAGGCCATGATCCCTTGGAAAGCCCCCTCGCAGGACGCTCCGCACGGGTATGGTGTTTCCTGGCTGCTGGAAACAATTGGCTGGCCGTGTTCAGTCAATGGGCAAACAGCACCGAGAATTCTTACTTCCCAAGTGTGTTTGCTTGCCGCATACCCCAAGGCGTGACGCTAGGAGGTGTTTTAGCAGCCCTCCTAGCTTTGGGTTGCACTTTGCTTTCGAGATGCAAACCATGGATGAGAGATCTGGTTTTGACATACCTTTGTGTGGCGCCGACGCTTTGGCAAGAGCTCAATGGAGCACCTTCGATGCGCCAGTTTCTGCAGGCCTACAAGCAGGGTCACTACTATCCAACCTGGCATGAGGAGATCTTTGGGTCTTTGAGATGGAACTGGCTCCTCATCGTGGCCTCCACCCAAATATTGATTCAGGCTGGCTGCCATCCCTGCACTTGTATTGTTGCCACTGGCTCTTTGATTTGCACGGTGTCTCTCCCTATTCTCATCGAGTTCCGGGATCTCTACGCATTGGTGGATTGGCCTGACTGTTTAGAGAGCTCCTTGTTGGGGCTGGGGGTTTTGCTCAGCCACCACGTCGACTGGCACGCGCGGATGAAGGCAATTCACTTGGGCATGCAGCAGAGCAGCGAGAACGCCGACGCCGTGCAGTGTGCCGGGCGGAGCCGCGAAGGGCTGGGGCCAGGCGATGAGATGGAATTGGTCGAGCTGCGGGGCAGAGCTGAAGAAAGGATGCAGGATTTTGCGAAGGCAATGAAGGTGGGCGTGGTGGTGCATGCAGAGACGGAACTCCATCCTGACACTGATGAGTTTGATCTTCCGATCACTTCTGAAGGTCTCAAAGACACCGAGCTGTTGGCAGAGGAGTTGAAAAGTGCCGAACTCATCTTCGATGTGGTGATCTCATCCCCTTTCTTGTGCTGCTTGCAAACGGCTTGGATCTTGGGCGAACGCTTTGGGGCAGAGGTCTTGCTTGATGAAGACTTGGCGGGTGAGACAACCTACCCATCCCCGTTCACCCATGCGCTCTACCCCTTAGACAGCGGGGTGAAGATTGGTCGAGTGATGGATCAAACTGGAGAATCTGATCTAGAAGTGAGATATGCCAAGAGGTTCTTGGAGTACCTCGGAGAGTCCTTCCACTCGAAGAAGAACTTTCTTTTGGTCACACACCCTCGCAGCCTAGAGGTTTGTATGTCGATCTTGCCTCCAGTGCAGCAACGTAAGATCATCTCACTGCGCCCTTTGGCCACTCTCCTTGCCTTGCGCGACCCAGCGATCACTCTGCCCCAGAGATCTGAGCCGCCGTTGCTGTTACCGGGAAGGCGATGCCGGAGCCAATCCCTTGATCTGCCAAGGCGATGGAAATTTCATGATCCGCAGCGTCGGTTGGAAGAGCTGAATGAATTGCTTCAAGCTGTAGACTTGAACTCTTGGTCAGTTTGGCTTCGCGCCGTCACCACCCAAATGGCGCAAGGTGGCCAAGGCATGGTGAGTTCCCCCTCACCAAGCCTTGGCTCGAGCTGGGAGGATCTCCACCAGTCGCTCACCGAGCTGCCGCAACGGAGGGCTCTCACCACAGCACCTTCTCGTTTGACCCGTGTCGGCCGACCCTTGGGCAGTCGTTGGGGAAGCTTCAGCACGTGGCCAGCGTCGAGCTCTGTGAGCCACGCGGGGTCTTTGACAGTCATGCTGCAGGTGTCACAGCAAAGCTTCGAGAAGTACCCTGCGGTGAGAGGTTAGAATAGATGATGGCACTAGCGCGCGTGATTATGTAAATGCGGGTAGAAGATGGTAGAAGTGGGTTCTCCAGCAACACACCTTGGCGATCCAGGAAATTCAGGGATGTGACTGATACAGCTCCCATGAGAACTCAATGACATCATTGACTAAGCATAGTGAAGGCAGTCAGTGCCAGGATGTCCAAACCGGTCTCGAGGCGGTTTTCAGTCGGATCAGTAGTCGGATCGGCAGTCCATCTATAATTGGCGGTAAAAGTATCATGATGGGATGAACAGATATGTTGAGTTCCGTGAGTTTGGTTGGAAAAGAGGTTGACCTTTGATCCAGTCCAGAAACCGGATGCTGAAATGCGCAACAAATGATCAAACATGCAGACGATACGATGGAACCTCCGCACCTTAAAAGAGCCTATATAGACTATAGACTCTATCTATCTCATTGTCGAACGGATCCCCTTGGTCGACGTCCACACGTCGGGTTCGACTCCTGCGCGGTGACCAAGGGTGCAGCGGATGGATGCGCAACCGTCAGCAGGCATGCATGGCAATCTTGGTTTGGGAGCCGTTCCTGTGGTAAAAGGACGGATTGATAAAATAGGTCATTCCAGGAATGAATCACGTACAGTAACCAGGAGCTTGGAGTCTTCTTGTTTTCTTTTGGTTGCAGCAGCGACTTGTAAAGTGTATGGACTTTCGCGGCAAGATATCAAAAGAAGCAACTTCCTTCCCACCGAAGCAAATCCATCAAGCCAGGCTCCTTACTGTTTTGGGCAATTCCATCGGAGTTCCGTGGAAGCCAGCAGATGAGCAATCAGATCTCCTCCCAAGAATTCCACTAGCCATCTCACAAAAAGCCGGAGAATCCGCTCGCCACGATTGGACCATGGGAAGAGGCATGAAGTGATTTCAGCAGAATCTCCGTTTACATAGAAGAACTGCAGACATCTGCAGACTGTGATAAGCCACCATATGACCTGGTGCGGTCAAGTGATGTGAGGCGATCCGGTGTTCACTTCGCTACAATTGGCACGCCCAGGCACGTGGATGCGCTTTTGCGCCGGGTACGCCTGAAGGTTGGCTGGAATGAGTGGGCTTGCGGAGCTGCAAGCGGCAGGGGTGGTGCTTGGGTGGATCGGAAAACACCATGGTCTCACATCTCCCGATATTGGCGCCTTCAATCATCAACAATGGCAATGGAGGCATGGACAGGGATGTATGGTACTCATGATACTCATGCAGATTGGAGGTTAGCGAAAAAAGATGCAAAAGATGTGTTCGGAAGAGTCCGACCGGGTGGGCGCAACTGTTTCTGCCTTTGACAGAGAGAACACTAGTTTCCAATACCCAGGTTTTTGTGATGTTCCAGTTTGACTGTTATGCGTTGGCCCTATTACATATATCAGGGTGCAATTTCCTGCTGATCTACAAGGGAGTAATCCGCTCCAAACCAAAGGGCATCAAATGCAAGCTTCATGGTCAGCTTGGAAGGCTAATGGTTTCGTTATGTAAAGTGTTTTCCCCGGTTTTCCCTCCCGAACATGGCCACAGCCATGTTTTGGACAGCTCAGCACTCCTCCAGCCTTGAATCCGTGGCCGGCTTTGGCACCCTGTTGCTCTTCGAAGGAGATTCGGAAAAATGACCCAGCATTCAAGCAGCTTGTCGGGAGCTGAAGGCAAGGATACTCCTCAGCCTTCATGATAACCGATTCATCTTGTAATTAGGCAAGAGTAGAGTCAAGTAGAGCGTTGAGTAGAGTTGTGCGGAATGCAAACAAGTCGGGTGGAGGTTCAACGTACCTGTGAGTAGGGGTGTGGACTGCCAAGATGAGAAAGCAAGCAAAGTGATAGGACATGGAAGGACAGTTTGGGTTCCTCCTCATCCCACTTGAAATGGAACAAAACAGAACCATGAAGAAAACAAAGAGCACAGCACAAGGAAATCAACATCTTATGCGAAAGTGAAAAGAAACATGGGAGCTCAAGTTAAGGAGTTGCAAGTCTCAGCTCAACTTGCTGTACACAAGTTGGCTAGGCTATGCTGTCAAGGGGTTTCCCTTTGCAGTCCAAGCCTTTCAGAAAGTCTTGAATTCTGTTTTCTACGCGTCGAGTGTGTGCAACTGCAGCCCAAGACAGCCAGAACACAATATATGCATGTCTAGTGACACATCTTCCACGGTTTTGCGCTTTACTTCTACTGCCAAACCTTCCGATCGGCGTCAGATCCTGCAGGGATCACTCCAGGAGTGAAATGAGAAAGCTCCAGACGAGCAGAAGCTCATGGTCCATTGAGGCCGGGTCCCACAAAGCTGGAACGTCACTGGGCTTTGAGGTGAGGGGTACCGAGCTTGACCACGTTTTCACGGTCCTGCCAAGCGGTTTTCATTTCGCACCCAGTGGTTTTCAGGTTCCATGCATTGGGCAATCCCTCAGTTTGAGAGACCTGCAGCTTGGGGCGTCGACATTACTGATACCTTTGAGGCGCGTTTGGTTCTGCTTGGGATCACAGCCACGCGCAAATCACTGCTTTGCAGATGTGAGTGTCAAAAAGTTCTTTCAGGGTCTATGTGAACCTCAGCCAAACATTCCTCATGTGAAGTCGCCACGCCAAGCCTGAAGACACTCTATCGCTTCATGCCAGGCTGAGAGAAGGAAGACCCGCGCGGAGTTCAGAGCCTCAAGCTCCGGCCAGGTGCGCCGCCGGGGGTGCGCGCCTGGCGTGCTATTGTGGCAAGAACTGTGTGGTTGGCTAATGTCGTCTAGTAGGTTCTCCGTTGATGTGAAGTCTGTGATGTGGCGGTCAGAACTCAGAGGGTTTTAGTATTTTGAGGTTCTTTATTTCGTCCCAAGGAGATAGATTCTGGCTGGCAACCTGATTAGTACGCTAGATGAACTGCTTTTGCTGCTTTGCCAGAGCTATTGTATCATGGGCCCGAGTGAACAAATGTGTGGAGCTACCAGAAGGGTTTCAAGGGATGTCAAGCGTCCTTTGCTAGGGATGACATGTCAGCCAGTGGTGTACAATTAATCACCTTTAATCACCTCTCCCCATGTCTCACTGCCGGTTCCAGTCGTTCGGCTCAAAGATCGCCGCTGCTTCCAGTCACTCAATCGAGCGGTCTGCGACTCGCTTCACCCATAGGATGCCCATCCGAACACCTCAGGGCACCATCACCACCCCGGCCCACACGCAACGAAAAGACCACCCCCCTTGGGCTCCCTTCGCTTCAGACAAGAGACAAGGCCCAGCCCAGCCCCTCCTTTCTAAAACACAGACGAAGGAATTCCGACAGCGGACTCGCCGGCCGAATGACCTGCGAAACAACAAATCACTGGGAAGATGGAAGGGGGTTTGACCACCAAACTGGTCATGCTCAGTGCTCACGAGGGTTCTTTTCCATGCCAGGAAACATGATTACTTGGGGTTCGTCATCGCAAAAAAACGTCAGATCCTACGTACGGTTTTGATGTGTTATGAGAGAGACATATATATATATACATAAAGAGAGAGACATATGTATATAAATACATATACATCGTATCACATAGTTGTATATATCATAATGATGTCATGTAAAGGCCACCGGCAGTATAGTAGTTTAGTCATGACCCATGACAGGAAACAGACTGACAGATTGCTTCTTCTTCCGTCAGCTCGGGGAAGCGATAGAATCCAAACCTCAAAAAAATGTTGATCACGTAACACGAGCATACTCACAATTATTCAGTCCACCTCTGAGCCCTGCGCCCCCCATGGAGCGCAGCTCCTTCCGCGAGAGTTGGCTTGAGACGGGCGAGGAACTTCGCTGTGTGGATCGATGGCAACAGCTTCGGTGGCAGTT